AACACGATCAAACATAAAAGATAAAAAAACCCCCCAAATGAATAAATAAACATAAATAAAAGATGTGGGGGGGTTTGTTTCTCTGTCCCTGGTTTTACTCTCATGTATTCATTTTTTCCCCTTTTCCCTTTTTGTTTTATTATTTATTACTTGACCCCTTTAAGACCAAATTTTTTAAAGGTAAGTAATGGTGAACTGTAATAATTTTATCCCCGGGGATGTTAAATATATAGTTATTGTGGGGGGGGGGGTGAAATACCCTGCCATTACAAAAAACCCCCACATTGATTTCTTAAAATAAATATTACTTGTCTCACCTGGTTAAGACTATAAATATTTTAGGAAAAGTAATGAGTCACTTTGTGTGTTTTGTACCTTTTTATTGTTTTTTGATGCTGGGTTTTTTGCTAACTTAATTGTTAGTGAAAAATTTTTATCTATGTTTTTTTGATTTATAATGGAAAAAAAAAGGGTGTTCCACTTTACGGCGATTTTTCCCCTTTCGGCGCTAGCCCGGAACCAAACCCCCCGTTTTGTGGGGGGCCCTTCTGTACTAAATAAGCTACCCTGGCTCCCAAAAAAAAACCCCATGCCCAAACTGGGTAAAAAAGGTGGAAAAAACGATTGAATTTAAGAAAAACCCTCATTGAACAATTGAAAATGGGACAATTGGCCGAACTGTCCCCGGAGTATAAAAACCCCACACAACCTTAAGTTCCATGTGGGCCAAGGGAAAAAATTTAAAAAAGGTGCTGTTGTTGCAAAGGGGAGTAACTATGCTGCAAAATGAGATCACCCGTCTGGAAGAGGTTGAGAATTATTATTGGTGTGGTAAATGAGAAACAAATTTGCAGGAATACTCTTTGACTTGTTTATTTGTGAAAAAGGGTAGGGAGTTGCATGAAGATTTTGGAAAGAATTTCCTGAAAAATGGTGAAGTGAGGAAATTTTTAAAGGGCCCGCAAAGGTGGTTTTGGGGTTTTTAAAAACCGTATGGATACACAGTGTGGTAAGGATGGGGAGGTGCCAGTTCGGACCCCAAAAGGGGGCTGAAAAATATGTGCATGAATTCCGGGGGAATAGAGGGAAGGACTGAAACCTGAACAAGTGTTCAATTGTGACGAAACAGGCCTCTTTTGGAAGAAAATGCCAAAGAGGACCTTCATTACACAAGAGGAAAAGGCAATGCCAGGGCACAAGCCTATGAAAGACAGGCTGACGCTAATGTTCTGTGCTAATGCTAGTGGGGATTTCAAAGTGAAGCCATTACTAGTGTTACCATTCTGAAAATCCCAGAGTGTTCAGGAAAAACAATGTTATGAAGAGTAAATTGTGTGTGTTTTGGAAATCTAATAGTAAGGCATGGGTCACGAGGGAAATTTCGTCGGGTGGTTCAATGAAGTGTTTGGCCCTAGTGTGAAGGAGTATCTCCTGGAAAAGAAATTGGATCTCAAGTGCGTGCTAGTAATGGACAATGCACCTGCTCATCCTCCAAACTTGGATGACCTAATTTTCAAGGAGTTTGGGTTCATCACAGTAAAGTTCTTGCCCCCGAATACCACTCCTCTCCTCCAACCATGGACCAGCAGGTTATTGCAAACTTTAAAAAACTCTACACAAAAGCAATGTTTCACAGGTGCTTGACTGTGACCACAGACACTCACTTGACCCTAAGGGAATTTTGGAGAGAGCACTTCAGCATCCTCCACTGCATAACCCTTGTAGGTATGGCTTGGGAGGGAGTGACTACCAGGACTTTGAACTCTGCCTGGAGAAAACTGTGGCCAGATTGTGTCGACAAGAGGGATTTTGAAGGATTTGGGACTGACCCTAATGAGCCTATGTCTGTTGTAAAATCAATTGTGGCACTGGGGAGTTCCATGGGGTTGGATGTTTGGAGGATGTGGAAGACCACAATGAAGAGCTCACCACTGAGGAGCTGCAAGAGCTTCAGCAGGAAGAGCAACACATCGCAGTTCAGAATCTTGCTGCAGAGGAGGAGGAAGAGAGATGGAAGAAGGTGCCTTCTTCAGAAATTAAAGAGATTTTTACTATGTGGGGTAAGATGGAAAGCTTTATGGAGAAACATCACCCTAACAAGGTTGTTGCAAGCCAGGTTGGCAACATGTACAGTGACAAAGTCTTGGGCCATTTTAGGGAAGTGTTAAAGAGATGCCAGAAACAGAGCTCTCTCCACAGTTATTTTGTGAGACAGGACTCCAGTGACTCTCAAGGTGGTCCTAGTGGCATTAAGAAACAGAGAAGAGAAGCAACCCAGAAAGCAAATGGTACTGAGGTGTTGATGGAAGGGGATTCCCTTCCAAACTATAACAATCCACTCTCTCTCCTCCTCAGTCTCCCATACACTAAGAGAATCTCCAATAAAGGTAAGTGTTATGCTGTTAATGTTTCATTCATCATTTCCCATTGTATTGTTTATGTACTACATGTATATTTCATGTTAAATTTTTTTTTGTTTTAATACTTCTGGGTGTCAGGAACGGATTAATTGTATTTACATTATTTCTTATGGGGAAAATTGATTCGTAAATCGTAAATTTCGTTTATAGTAACGGCTCCAGGAACGGATTAATTACGAACAACGAGGGACCACTGTACTTGCTTTGCTACACTTCTCTTTCTACATAAACTGGCAAGCATAAAATATACATAATATAATGTATTTTTATCATAGCAACATTTCACTTGAGGGAAGCTTTATAAAGTCATAACTTAATAAAGCTTCCCTTGAGCAAAATGTTATAACAGAATCAAGCTGTTTTATTTGTTGCTTTATGCACTTGTCAGCCCACCATCTCTTCCACCCTGAGATATACCATACCTAAAACATAAGCAAAACACTCTTTACTAAAGCAGACTGACCTGTTGAGCATATCTGATTTGTCAGGGAAAATTTCTTCTGTTGTAGTTTTCAATGAACACATTATTTATATTTGATCTGACGTATCTGAACTCTTACAAAACAGTCAACATAGAGGTTAGTAAGCACACCCTCCCACTGTTAGTAAGGTGCATGAATTGTTTTATTCATTAAATATTAGTAAGGTGCATAGCTTGTCTTATTCTGTAAGTACTAACAACATACAGACTCTGTCTCAGTGATAGTTACAGTGTAGGAGAAAGGAACATCTCATTATACAAGATATTAAACAGTGTATTAAAAAACAATGTTAGGTTTAAAGCAAGAATAACTTAAAGTACTAAGTTTATTTAAGGTGCACTGTCAGCAGTGCTGATAGTGGAAAATATGAGATATAAAGAAGGTAGTCTTCCTGGTGGATATGACATCTACCCTCTCTTGCAATAATGAATTCTGCATTCCTGCTTAAGAGCATTAATGATCAAATTTTTTGAAAACCCAAACCATTCTCCTACAATGTAACTGCTGGTATGTCTTAAACAATGTCAATGTCTCCTGCAAACTGATAGCAAAGGAAAAAAAATTTCAGGAGAGGAAATTTTGATTTAAAATTGTTTGCAATTGTTGGGCTGTTAACAGAAGCAAAGGACAGGTGCACAAGAAAATAAAATTGGGAAAACTTTTAAATTAAATAAAATACAAAGTGCACCTGCATTTTATTGAAAGGTTGAGCGTGAGTAGAACATGTTTGTTTAAAAAAGCTATACCAGAACACAACCTGAGAATTTAAGTACTCTGTATAAAATAATGAAGACCTAATATGCTTTTCAGCTTTATCTTTACTAACAAAATACTACTGTGGTCATGCTGGCTATTTGCAATCTGCAAGCCAAGAGTATTTACCAAATTACTAACTACAGTACAGTAGAGCAACTCAGACAGGATCTAATCGAACATGTTGGATCCGAACATGTTATTACAAACAATGATAGTAATCTAATTCATCACATGTTATAGTTGATAATAAAATAAAAACCTTTCAGTTGACAAGTGCAGAATGTAAATAACACTGTATAGGGGAAAATTGATAATCTACCCTATATAGCATTATGCTTACAAAAACATTTAGTCTGCACAAGCCTTCAATTATTTTATAATTATATTTAGTTTAAGAAGAGATATTTTATTTTCATGAAGCAGGTATCACACTGGCCATAGTATAACAAGTTTTCATTCAGTGCTGTCAGACAAATGTGGTGAAACTGTCAAGTTATTCCCGACTACCTGTTGCATGGCGTGCTGGCAAGAAATGCTGGGATGCTGGTGGTACAGTGAATGGATCCACATCACTTGATACAGTACATACACAAACAAATGCTCTCTATAATAGCTGCTACTAAATTTGTCATATACTAAAAAAAAATTTCCTTTAAATTTTCAAAATGCTCAGGAATAAATTTTAAGGGAAATTTAAAACATATTGATGTACTGTAAATAACAGTGTCCAGAAGTAAGAGAAAGGAGGGACCAGAGATATTTGTTTGTGCACATACTGTACAGCAGAGGAAGACACCAACCCATCACCTCACAGAAAACCAAAGACAAGACGACCAAAAACCGAGGCTCGTCCCTTGCACACTAATATACAACCTACCCATTATGAACTTCCTCAGCAGAAATTATTAATATTCATCCTTATTTGAAAAGAGTTTGGTGGATCTTGATGGGTAACAATAGAATATCAATGAGGAGTGAAGGATCACAGTTATTGGCTAAAATAAAATACTGTTCTTAAGTTTTCTACAGAAAAACTGCAAAGCAAGATTGCTTGCAAAACATTAAGCATGAAAAAGTTTAAAGTAAACTGAGGAGAGAAAAAGTTTCATTCATGCAGTTTCTATCAATATTGGTAATCTTATTTTTCAAACTCTGTGCAGTACAGTATATTTTATTTGTCAATATTGTACTTGCTGTAATGTAAATGCAAATAATAATATACTATTTTACTTCAAATCAGAGACTATAAATCTCATATCATGAAATAAGGTAAATCTAATTATAGTAAACTATTTCACAAGCTTAGCCTTCAGTGTTATCTTACTGACTTAATATTTTCCCAAAGATAAGGAATAATACTAATCTTAAAAACTCACAACAGCATGCAATATTTATGATGTAAGTACATATAATGCTACATAATATATGTACCACTGTATCTCTTCAGCACTGTATGACCCTGGTGGTTCAGTGCTTTGATTGTAATAATAATACTGTATCTCTTACAAAGAAAAAATAGCATTGCAATATTCATATTAAATCATTTTTCAAGATGTTTTCAATCCTGCTAAACATAACATTATTTTTTTTTTGTAAATTCATTCAGTGTGAAAAAGTGATTGTATATTACGTATATAAAATGAAATTTCCCTCTCCATCATCTTACATGCTATTAAGGGAGCTGCATCAAAATGGAAGTGTGTAGTGCAGTAAAATCTTACTACTTCAATTTGGTTATTTATAGTGTTGTGGTGTGGTGAAATTTAGTGTGGAAAACCACTGCCACACTTTAGTACAGTGGACCTCTGACTTACAAACAGCTCCCAACTCAAACAATTATGTAAGTGTATTTTTGTAAGTGCTTTTGTAAGTGTATTTCTGGGGGTCTGAAATGGACTAATCTAATTTACAATATTCCTTATGGGAGCAAATTCGTTCGGTAACGGCACCCGAACAGCCTTCTGGAACGAATTAATATCATAAGTCGGGGGTCCACCGTATACTAACCAAATTGGAGGATAAGATTATTTACACCAGCTGTAAGAAAGAGCTTCAACACAGGCTATGAAAACAATGTGAAAGGTTAGGAAAAGAAACCTTTCCCAGTTAGAGAAGAAAGCAAAGCAACAGTCCACCGGTAGAGCTAAGAATGTGATTTTTTACTCGAGTATTAAACATGAATGATGAGTGAGAGCCTTGAAGGAAATCTGATCATTTTGCTTTTTTTCAAATTCTGCTCCCATATAGCTCTAATTTCTCTTGGTCTCATCTCACAGTTCATTCCACACACTTGCAGGTGTTTTCTCATTACACAGGCATGCAAAAACTCAATGAAAGTAAAGAATATGGATATTCCTCTCAGAGTATACTTTTATAGCTTTAAAATGTACTATTAATTTATTATTACAATTCCTAATGGTGAAGAAATCTTAATTGCCATTAATCTTTATGAAACATTCTACTGTGATTGGTGCACATGGATTATATATTAGTACACATGTACAGCAGTAGCTATCTTATTTCCATACATAACAATTACATAGTAATACAGTGTCCTGTAATACTAAAAAAATATAGTACAGTATTTGAATTAATTACTTACCACAACCAATAATAAAGAAAAAAGCATCAATAAAAACTAAAAATGATAATAAAACATAAATGGGAAACTGATGCAATTTAAAAAAAAAAATGCAGGATGATTATTTTTATCACAAAATTAAATCTTTAAAATGGTCTTGGAGTGCAGATATTCCTGTAAAAATAATAAGTCATTCTTACCCTCTCAATGATTAAAATTTTTTCAAGCAAATATCGCTGTATAGTCCTTGTGGCTTAGCGCTTCTTTTTGATTATAATAATAATCAAGCAAATATCCTCAAGCAACACACACTGACCCCACTCACAGCCTCAAACAGCACACACTGTGACCTACTGACACAGTCTTGAGCAGCACACACTGTGACCTACTGAGTCTTGAACAGCACACACTGTGACCTATTGACAGAAGCCTTTGAACACCACACACTGACCTACTGACAGAAGCCTTGAACAGCACATGCTGTGATTACTGACAGTCTTGAACAGTACACATTGACCTACTAAAACAGCCTTGAACAACACACTGTGACCTACTGACACAATCTTGAACAGCACACATTGTGAACTACTGACACAGCCTTGAACAGCACACACTGTGACCTACCGACAGCCTTGAATAGCACAAACTGTGACCTGACACAGCCCTGAATAGCACACACTGACCTACTCACACAGCCTTGAACTACACACTAATGACCCATTCACACAGGTGACATCAGAGTTCAGACAACACTCTGAACTGCAGCATCCCCACCCCTCTGCCAGAGTGCAGGCACAGTACTTCCCACCTCCACGACTCAAATCCAACTAACCAGTTTGCCCTGGATCCCTTCATAAATGTTACCATGATTACACTCCAAATTCTCTGCATAATATTCAGCCCACACACACTGCCCTCAAACACAACATCTCCACTGCCTCCAACCTCCTGCTGGCTACAATGTTTAAAACTTATTCTTCACAATCATCATAATGTTCTTACTACTATACTCTGGTATACTTCTTTCTTTACCTCCAATATACGATATAAACATGATATATACATGTACTATATAAATTTATATATATTTACCCATATATGGTATGTATCTTTCAAAAACCTAAAATTATATCTGGAATATGTAAATTTATGTACTGTATATGTTTACCCATTTCTGTATGAAATACATTAATACATGATCAAGTTTCCCATTTTGATTTTAATATCATTTTTATAGAAAGCATTTAAAAAAAATGACAAATATCAAATTTGTATCCAGGGATGTTACATGATATTCAGGCATAAGACTCCCTAGACCTAAGACAACCTTGCTGACTTAAAACAACTTCAGAACAAAAAGACATCCTACTGAAGCAGCCAACTAAAATTTAATTACTAGTGATTTTTTCAAAAACATCTTTCTACTTTTTGTACATCATTCAATCCTCAAGTAATGTACCATCTTCCACAGATGAGAGGTGAGGTCTTATCTCATGACTGGTTAAATATTCCATTCAGCAGAAGGCTAGAAAACTAGAAGGTGGTGATGTGCGCCAGGAAGGACGTAAGGTTTAAACGAAACTGAGTCAAACGTCTGTGTGTCTGCAGGGGGAAGATACTGTTTAGAAGCCAGTGGGGAAAATGTAAATCTACCCCATGTTACTTGGCCAGCGCTTGGACTAAGGGACTGAATCTTGTCATTAACAGCACTGGTCTCACTATCATAACCAGTTCCTTGCTTGTCAGCATTTTGTGGCAAATTTGATGGAACTGCTTCATATGATGCCTGCTGACCTTGGAGAAACTGATGGAATGGCTGTTCATTTTGTGTTGGTCTATAAAGAGGCTGAACTCCAGCTGCTGACAAATGATAAGGTGGCAGTTGGCCAGGAGCTGGCTGGCTAGATGGATGCTGATTCAGAGGTGAGTGAGATGAAGGCTTACTCTCTGAGGCTGGCTCATCATTCCTATCTCCTACATGATACTGAATCTCAGCCCCTGATTCTGATTCTGGCTTTGGCTCTGGCTCAGACTTGGAGTCGGACTCAGAATTAAGTTCAGATTGTGGTTCTGGCTCAGGATGAGGTTCAGACTCTGGCTCAGGATAAGGTTCAGATTCTGACTGATGAGGTTCAGACTCTGGCTCAGAATGAGGTTCAGATTCTGACTGATGAGGTTTAGACTCTGGCTCAGGATGAGGTTCAGAATCTGGCTCAGGTTCAGACTGTGACTGCTGTTCAGCTGTAGGCCTATGAGCAGGGTTCCTTGGAGTAAGAAAACTGGATGTTCTATGTGCTGGTATTTGTGGACCAACCCCAAATGACCCAGGAGCAATGCTGAAAGAAGGCTCCTGGAAAATCCTCTCACCTGAGGGATCCTGAAAGGAAATACTCGGCATGGGCAGCGTACCTCGTAACTGATTGACTCGAAGGTACTGAGGATTAACCTGCAGGGCGCCAACAGAACCATGTTCGACTGCTTCTCTCAAGACTCTTCGCACCATTGATTCATCTCCCACTTCTCCGGTATCATCTGCAGTAAGGAATAAAATATAAAAATGCATGTTATGTACTCAATAGCATTACACATAACTAGGCCTATTATACACAAAATTTTGGCCTCTTACAGATATACATGTATTCAATTTACTAATTCTCTTTACCAAGTTAAGTAATTTGAATATTTTTACTAATATTGTTATGGTAACAGATAAGCAAATATAGAAAAATACTTACAAATAACAACGTTGATAATTATATTAATATAGAATGGAATAGAGTAGGTTCACCTAATTTATTAATTATACTGTACTGCTGTGCATTTTAACATACATACATACATAACCCCTTCTCCTGCATAAATTACTAAGTTTAAAAGGAAAAACTTTAGTTTTCCTTTTCAAGTCACCCTGCTTCTGTTGGGATATGGTTGGTGTATTGAAATGAAAAAGAAGACATACATACATAAATCAGACATCATACATACACACATGCATACATACTTTTTTTTAACATGCTGGCCATCTTCCATCATTATCCTTAGAACACAGTGGTTACAAATGTTACTCATGGAGTTGGCATTCAAAACAATGTAAAGAAGGTATCCTTCGGTAATGTTGACATTCTACTGTGAAGCCTAAATGGCTACAAAAATCTAGATTAGTCCAGTGTTACTGTACCTTTAGGAGGAGGGACTTCTCCAACCTTTGCTTCATGTAAAGTTTTGTCCAACACAACTTCCATCTTGGTGAGAAGGTTGCCTTTCCCATCATATTTTCTGTGGGAGGGAGCAAAATAATTATGAGAAAATAACATAAAAGTCATAGAGTGACACTGAGAATATTTAGTGTTAATTATAACAGACTGCCTTCCCTTCAAATACACAAGACTTTCCATGAAAGTTAAACAAGGAAAAGCACTGCAGCAGGCCTACTGGCCCATGCTAAGCAGATCTGGCTTACATCCATGCATGTACTTGTCTAACCTATTTTTAAATCTACTCAAGGTTTTAGCTTCAATGACTCTACTCAGGAGTTTGTTCCACTCATCCACAGAGGATAATTATGACATACTGTCTTTCCTGCAAATACATACTATAAATCTTTGGCACATCTGTAATACTTTCTTATACTCAGAATTTATTTTTTGGGAATGAAATATTGATTATTATTATAATCAAAAAGAAGCACTAAGCCACAAGGGCTATACAGCGCTGCAGGGTAGGGAAGGAAGCGAGGGTATTGGATGGCAGAAGGGAGGAGGGATGATCAGTAGGTTACAGAAAACAGTGGGGCAGGGGATAGTACAGGGGTAGAGGGTAGCAAGAGATTGAAGTAGAAAGGGCTGAAGGTATCAGAATTTGTGAAGTAAGTCAGTTGTTGTCAAAAAGTCAATGAGAGAGTCTGGATGAAAGGTGGGTCCATTAGCGAGAAGGGAAGGTAAAGAGAGAGAGCAGCAGAGCGAAGACGACGACGGAGGTAAATTCTGCGTGCTCGTTGATAAAGTGGGCAGTCCAACAGAATGTGGCTGACTGATAATGGAACTTGGCAATTCTCACAGAGAGGAGCAGGGCGCCTCTCCATGAGATATCCATGAGTAAGACGAGTATGGCCAATGCGAAGACGGGAGAGAGTAGTCTCCCAACCTCGACACTGGTGATAAGAAGACGGCCAGTAACCTATACTCGGTTTAATAGATTGAAGTTTATTGCCGAGCATAGTAGACCAACGTTGTTGCCAACGGGTGTGAAGTTGGGAAGATATTGCAGCAAAATAGTCCGTAAATGGAATACCTCTACATGAAACTGGTAGGTCATGTACTGCTGACCGCGCAGCAGTGTCTGCCTGTTCATTGCCCTGTACGTCAACATGACCAGGGACCCAACAAAAAACAATATCTTTATGCTTGGTAAAGATGCAGCGTAGCCAAAGTTGGATACGGAGGACTAAGGGGTGAGGTGTATCAAATTTCTGTATAGCCTGTAAAGCACTAAGGGAGTCTGAGACAACCACAAATGATGACACAGGCATAGATGCAACATGGATAAGTGCTGTAAGGATGGCATACAATTCAGCAGTAAAAATACTAGCCGAAGATAGTAAATGCCCTTGTACGACGCTGTCCGGAAACACTGCTGCGAATCCTACGCTGTCAGAAGACTTAGAGCCACCTGTGTACACAGCGATGGCATGAGAATGAGAGTGAAAGTGGTCAAGAAAAAGAGAGCGGGAAGCGACCGTAGACAGTTGGGCTTTCGAGCAAGGGAGAGAGAAAGAACAGACTCGAACAGCTGGAACTTCCCAGGGGGGTAGGGAAAAGTGAGATGCTACATGTACATAGAAAGGTGGTAATTGAAGAGAAGACAAGAGCGAATGAAGGCGAAGAGAGAAGGGATGGAGTAAACAGGGGCGGCGAACAAATAAAGAATGTCTACTAATATCAGTGACCATTCTATAAATGGAAGGATTGCGGAGATCATGAGAGCGTACATAGTAGCGAAGGCAATGGGCATCACGGCGATCGGATAAGGATGGAACGTTCGCTTCTGCATAGAGGCTCTTGACAGGAGAAGAGCGAAAAGCACCAAGGCATAAACGTAATCCTTGGTGATGAATGGGGTTAAGGCTAGAGAGAGTAGCAGGAGATGCCGCTGAATAGATCTGGTCACCATAATCAAGTTTCGATAAAATAAGGGTGGAATGTAGGCGAAGGAGGGTTCGACGATCAGCTCCCCATGAAAGATGAGCAAGGGTTTTAAGAAGGTTCAGCCGGCTGTGACAAGTTGCCTTCAGAGAGGTAATGTGAGGTTTCCAGGATAACCTACAATCAAAGAGGAGGCCCAGAAACTTGACTGTATCATGTTCAGGGATACGGGAGCCATAGAGGTACAAAGGATGGTCGGAGATGACAGAGTGTCTAGTGAAAGTAATTTGGTGGGTTTTAGTGCTGGAAAATTTAAACCCACGTGTGGTGGCCCAATTGGAAACACGGTCGACTGCATGCTGGAGAGAAACTGTAATAAGGTGACAGTCAGCGCCTGCACAGGCAATAGCGAAGTCATCAACATAGAGTGATGAATAAATATTTGATGGAAGACTAGAGGCCAATTCATTAATAGCAAGGAGAAAAAGTGTTGTGCTCAGAACACATCCCTGGGGGACACCTTCAGCTTGGATAAAGTCCGGGGAGAGCACATTATTAACCCGAACACGGAAATGCCTGTCAGTTAAAAAGTTCTTAAGGAAGGATGGTAGATTGCGTCGAAGGCCTAAGGAGTGGGCTTGGGCTAAAATATACCTCCAAGTTGTGTCATATGCCTTCTCAAGGTCAAAAAATATGGCAATAACTGAGTGGTTATTCGCAAAGGCATTACGAACATACGTATCCAAGCGTAGTAAGGGGTCTATGGTAGAACGTCCCTTACGAAAGCCATATTGACGAGTGGAGAGACTGTTGTGTGTCTCTAAATACCACACTAAACATCTATTTACTAGGCGTTCCATCACTTTGCAAACTGCACTGGTAAGAGCAATGGGACGATAGTGGGAGGTTTCATGTCCCGTAGTGCCTGGTTTGCGGAAAGGGAGAACAATGGCGGATTTCCACAGCTGTGGAAGAACTCTTGTGACCAAATAAGATTGTAAAGGCGTAATAGGACTGCAAGGGCTGACTGATGTAAATGTTGTAGCATACGAATATGAATGTCGTCGGGCCCAGCTGCCGATGATCGGCAAGCTGAGAGTGTTGCCTCCAGTTCTTGAAGTGTAAAAGGCACATTATACTGTTCTTCTCTGAGAGAAGAAAAGTCCAAGGGGGCTAACTCTCTGGCAGACTTTGAGGAAAGAAATGAGGGGCATAGATGGAGTCCCTGAGAAATACGGACCAGATGATTGCCAATTTCATTGGCAACATCTAGTGGGTTTGCTATATCAACACCGCCAAGCCGCAGAACAGGAGCCGGGTCAGGAGAATATTTACCACTCAGTTTTCGTACTTTTTTCCAGACTGCACTCATAGAGGAAGCAGAGGTGATGGTGGAGACATAATCTCGCCAGCAAGCGCGTTTAGCGTCACGGATGACACGGCGAGCAATCACACGCTTCTGCTTAAAATCAAGAAGTCTCTCTGCGGTTCTATTGTACTGGTACCTGCCCCATGCAGTGCATTTCAAACGTACTGCACGAGCACAAGCAGGAAACCACCAAGGCACGCATTTCTGAGAATGCCTGCCCGAAGTTTGGGGTATAGAATGAGAAGCTGCGGTTAAAACGGAGGACGAGAAGAGGTGTAAAAGCTCATCGATGGAGGACGAAGAAGGAACCTCTCTAAAAACAGTTAGGTGTGAGTAAAGGTTCCAATTTGCCTGATCAAATTGCCAGCGTGGGATGCGAAGAGGTGGTGAATATGAAGGGGAAGTAAGAATGATTGGGAAATGATCGCTGTCATGTAAGTCCGGAAGAACAGACCAAGTGAAGTCTAATGCGGCGGAGGAAGAGCAGACTGAGAGATCGATGCAAGAGAGAGTGTGAATCCGAGGATCAAAATGGGTGTGAGTACCTGTATTTAAAACATGGAGGGGGTGGGTGGCAAGAAAAGCCTCTAACTGAATGCCACGGGAATCACAGTGAGACCCCCCCCCAGAGAAAATGGTGGGCATTAAAATCACCAAGTAACAGAATCGGTGGTGGTAATGACAAAACAAGAAAGGCAATATCCGGAATAGATAATGCCCGAGAAGGAGAGAGATATAAAGAACAGAGCGTATACCACCTATGCAAGTGGATACGGGCTGCTGTGTAATGCAGCGAAGTACGAACAAATAGCTGATGGTACGGAATATCAGTGCGTAGAAGAAGGGCACTTTCATTAAAGGTCCCATCAGGAAAAGGATCTGAAGAATACAATAAATTATAGCCTGAGATGGGAGAGATAACAGCAGAGTGTAATTTTGGTTCCTGTAAGGCTGTAAGCAAACACCAACAGGGGAAAACTGGGAGAGTAACATCTGAAGCTCACCTCGATTACCCCTGAGGCCGCGTATATTCCACTGTAAATAGGCCATGATTGGCAATGATAAAGATACCTGAAATCCGCAGGTAAGGGTTCCTACGGACTAGAGGGGTTAGAAAAGTCCACATGCGGAGGCAGTGGAAAACGTTCAAGCAGTGAAGGAACGGTGCGCTGTGAAGAAAGGAGTTGCGCAGAAGGAGCGGAGAGTGGATCAGTGTCCATTGATGGTTTGGTCTCTGCAATATATTCAGAGATTGCTTCAAGTGTTTCAGAGTTCAGAGACGTCGTATGGGAGACAATATTGGAAATGGTAGAGAGAGGATGAGTAAAGATTGGAACTGTAATGGACTGTACCAAGGTAGAGGGGGGCGAAAGGGTGGAGGGAACTGGAGAAGCGTGAAAGGGGACAGAAGAGGCAGAAACCTGGGAGGTGGCAGAAGAGGAAGAAACTTGGGAGGGAACAGGGGAGGAAGGTACAGTACGAGGAGGAGGGTGAACCTCTACACTTGTAACAGAGCCAGTGAGAGGGGGAGAACCAGGTACAGAGACAGGGAAGGGAAAATGAGGAGGTGGAAGATGGGTAGGAGGTGTTAACGGACCTTTTTTTGACTTTTGAGAAGTAGAGGGACGATTGGGAGGAGGTGTCATACGAGATCTCGTCGCTACTGAGGCTTGTGAGAGAGAACACGAAGAAGCAAGATCAGACTGAGACGTTGAAGTAGGGACGTCTGAGCCGAGGACAGCAAAAGAAATAGCTACAGGAGTGAC